AACATACATTTTCGATGACTCATTCATTTAGCGAATAACCGACTAACAGCATCCAAATTTGGATGAGGGTCCGCATTGAGGAGTTCAAAACCTGCATGTAACTTTGAGATCTTATGGCTATAAAAAAGGTCAATTTCTTGCTTTTTCTGCTTTCAGTGAGACCTACAGGACCCCTCAGACCTCTCTTTAGCAACTGACCAAATTATGCGTGTTAATACGATCAAAGCACCTTCCTGATTCTATGCCCTGAGCTAGGACCCTAAGTAATTCAAGAACGCATTGCAAGTAAAGCTACAGTATTTCACCTGCGTTTCTACACAACAAAAAGCACTTCGTAATTTCTTCGATTTGCAAGCAGATATTCAACCTCGTGACATCCAAGGACTGACGAAGGCTATATCAAACCGCAGGCATTTATGATGCTCACTCAGTGAGCTAAATGCACTGTTCTGCAACTTGAGACACCCTGTATTGAATTGACTAGCCATTCTACATTTATTTGCAATAATTTTCGAAATCATTAGCGATTCGTAAGCGAACAAATAAACGCATTTAGTTGCCTATTCTGAGAGGTGATCGGAAGAGTACATGATATCTGAAGTTGAGAGTTGCTTGTAACTGTGATGCCACTCGGTCCCAATTGTACCTCGTCATCGATAATCCACCTCGGGTGGACACCTGCAATTTTATTTCTATTTCATAAATCTATCTTTTATCCTTTTTCTTACCGTAACCATTTTGGTGTACTCCTCGTACGGACCGATGCCATTCAACAGCATAGTCTGCGATAGTGGACATGTAGTAGCAGTAACTGATGTACCACTTACACGCGCTATTTGTGTTATGGCACCTCCAGCAAGGTAACCAATTTTCGTTCCACCTGTGGATTAGGAAATGAACAGAAGCATTTGGTTTAAGTAGTACCAACCTGGAATTGGTTGGTTTGTGTAGCAGTTGGAAATCTCATCGGGTGAGTAGGTGACTGTGGCGGACACTCCAACTGTTGGTATTGGTTGTTGTGATAAGGCCTCGAGGTACTGAAATTATGGAGATCAATCGTTCTGAAGCTTTCATGAGACTAAGTGAAGTAAAACAATGTGCTGTCGAAGCCACTGAGCACAGGAGTCGCA